CACACAATCACCAAAAAAACAGGAAAAGAGGCAATCCAAAGGCAATCCATTCATCACATCAAATAGTAACTAAATTATATAAATGTCCATAGGCAAAGTTCCTTGCTTATTACAAACCAGAGTTTTGTAGAAAATAAAGTTGGCCGGGCGATGGTATCTGCAAGGTTATTCCTAGCAGTTACATTAATAAAAGAGAGCAGTTATCACAAGCAATTATATATGTGAAAAAAAAAGTAAAACACACTAGCCACGCTCTTCCTTATTTGGGGGGCTTTAGCAAGCTGAAGCACCTAATGCAAGCATTTGATAACAAACTTAATATATTTTTTAATTGATTTAGCCCTCTTTACTACCCTGCAATCGAGCGGGCCACCTGCATAAATACTATGTGAACTCAGATCGTAACTAACCTAAGGGTAATTCTAGTCGGCCAAACACATCATCCATCCACAGAGTGTAGATAAAAGTAAGAGACACAGCAAAGCAATTTCATCCACAAACTGTCAGTGAAAACTACGAAAAATCCGGCACACAGCAGTAAAGTAAACACCGACCTATATCTAGATCTAGAGTTGGTTAATCCTAGAACATCATCTAAGTGTGTGTAAAAGGTCGTGTGGTTGGGGTAAATCCTATGTTGGGTGATTAGTCAAAGTTGTCTAAAGTTTTGAATTTGTTAAGGCCTAAAAAGGGAGATTTAAATTAAACTTTAAATATTAATAAATTAGGAATTTTAATTAAATTTATTTTAAAAGTTAATTGATTACCTTTGTTTCACACCGAGGCCGTGAAAAGTTTATTTAACCTTCCTTGGGGCTAAGTTAATAGCCTCGTAGGCCTGGTTACCAGTAGCAACGGGTAATTAAGTTTATTTTAAATTGGTTGGAATTAAAGGAAATGCATTAATGTTAAGGGGAATTGATTACTAATTTTTAATGGGTTGGTTGAGAATTTTAATAACCTATTAAAAGAATTTAGGAGTTGGAGAATTAACAGATTTAAAGGATTAACCCGGATACGTTAACTAAGGGGTCAAAATTTGACTTTCAAAACTAGAGTTAATCTTAAGGGTTTCAGATTTTTAATAAATACTAGACTAATAGAAGTTGTTAGATTAGGTGGCACACTCAATTTTGGAGTTTTTTTATGAAAAGTTATGTTTTTTAAAAGTTCTGGCACGTTTTGACCTAAAGTCACCTAAGATGTTGAGTCCTTGACTTTGACCAAATTATGTAGGTTTAATATTTTTAGAGAATGATAGATTCTAATTGAAGTCATTAGTCATTGGTTTGATTAGTCAAAATGTTTTCTATAATTAACAGTGAACTTTAGAAATTATACATATTCGTAGGGGTTACCAAGTTATTACGACTAAGGGTCTGCTAAGGATTTGAAACCCAAATGAGACCTAAACTCCTTGGGATCAATTCGAAATGTCATAAATGAACCTAAGGACAGATCAACAAGTGTTTAAAACCCTTTTGGGATTTTGAAGATTTTTAGTATTAATTAAAATTGGTTAACCCTTGATTTTATCTAAGCATAAACTAAGACCAATCTAGAGATCATTTAAGAGGGTTTCAATTCTTATTGATTAGGGGATTAATTAGGGACAATTATGGACATCTTAATGGATTTTATAAAATTAAGAATAGTTCATTACAATTTGATTAGGGTTAAGGCCATTTCTAAGAAGGATTTTTGAGGCCTCCTACTTGGGGAACCAAATGAACTCCAATTTGATGATGAATTTGGACCAATAGGATCATCTGACCCTAAGGACTAATCCCACCAAATTTGAGCTAAAATTGAATACTAAGGTGGTTAACTAAACCACCCAAGGTGATCTCAAGTCACTTCAAATCACTATAGTGGTCTATCCTAAGCTTGGATTGGGCAAAATTAGTGGCTCTACACTCCTTAATCCTACTCATCATTCAGCACACCAAAAAAACACCGCTAGTCCCATTGGATAGGTCTATATCCCATTTTTAATTTAAGGGTCAAACCATGACCCTTAATCTTAAAATTGGGGAAAATGCCCTTGAACAACTTAAAATGGGAAGATAAAATATTGGACATATCAAAAACATGCTCAATTCAATCTCCAAAAATTCCAGACCTGGTGGACCAATATTTAAAAAGTAATTAAAGAAATTCATAAAATGCTCAAATGAAATTAAGCCTAACACTGACCTACCAGGGTCTAGAACCATAGAGCTTTTGTGATCTCCCTGAGACCTTTCCAAGTGTGGAGGGAGTTATGAATTTTTGAAGTTCCCTTGAATTTCTAGATTTTTTAATTCGGCAATTACACAGTCAGCGGCTCTTTACACGCGCCGTGTGCTGATTGGCAAAGCAATCAATTGGCGCTAAACCGTTAACAGCCGGATAAACCATAGCCGTCGGATGGCAGATCGAATGACTGGATCAAACGACACTCGATACCGGGGATCTAATCTGAGCCGTTGATCGAAATCAACGGCTGAGATTTCGTCTTCAACCTCCCCGCAGTATCCGAGACCGACAGGAGCTTCTACGGCTTTGATCCGGGCGATCCGCTGGCGAACTTTGATGAAATTTCACAGGAGGATCAGGACTGTAGAAACCTTCAATCCAATGGGGAGATCCGTTGGGGTGAAGGTTTCCTTCACCCACTTGACGGACTACCTAGCTAGGGAGCTGGGATGAAGGATTACCGTCAGGGAAGGCCTCAATGAATGAGTTTCTCTATCAAGAAGCTTCAGGGATGATAACAAACTGACTCCTTCAGGGCGTCGGGACTGTGAGGACGGCCGGAGGTGCTACTTCGAGAAGGACGCCGAAAGCTTTCAGGGGCGCTCGCTCGAACGGACGGAAGTGATTTGATCTGGGAGCTCTAAGTGAGCGTCTGGGAGTTCGAAGAAGCTCTAGGAATCGATTTGAACGAATGTGGATGCCTCTGGCGGTCTGGGGAGCTCGAGGCTATTCGGCACCTTTCGGGAGCTTGGACAGTCGGATTAGGCTGGAGAGGGCTCTGGATCGCTGCTTAAGTGGACGATGGCGACGTCCTAGGGAGATTGGGGGATGAAACGCAGGGTAGCAGCTTTGAACCAGGAGTTATCTGGGGGACCACCAGAACTCATTTTCCATTGGTTCCGACTGCCACCGGCCATGGTCTGGGTCGGGTTGACTGGGGGAGATCGATGGAGGACATGCTGGAGCCAAGGGTGGAGTCCAATTTGGCCGGGAATGCTGAGATTGAACTGGTGAGTGGGGTTGGACCAAAACCTGCTCGATTCGAGTCGAATTGAGCTCGATCAAGGTCAGGTCAGACCCCTGGGTTTGGTATGGGAGATAGGTCTGGTCTTGGTGCACCCAATGCAAGTGGCAATTGGATTCCAATTTGGTCTGGGTAAAAGATGGCTCGGGTTGGATCCAAATCTACTCAGTTCGGGTCAATTGGGCTAACCGCAGGTCAGGCCAGACCAGGCTTGAGGTGGGAAGTGGTCTGGGTATGCTGGATCTAATGCAAGTGGCAATTGGGTCCAATTTGAT